GAGAGAAAATAAATATATTCCTACCTGTATCAGAGTATCAATTGAAATCAGCATGCTTTGAAAGCTGTGGGTTGGCCAGGCATGGTCACTCACACTTAGTAATCCCAGCACTTTGGAAGGCTGAGGCAGGAGGATTGCCTGGGCCCAGGAGTTCGAGGCCAACCTGGGCAATATAGTGAGACCTGGTCTCTACAAAAGATGTGGGGCTCCAGACAAATATCAATGTCATTATTTTCTTGCCACTCATCTATCTAGATTCAATATGCTGTGTGAGTTCCTCTTCTGCCAACCTTTTAAACGTTGGTGCTTCCCAGTCATCCACACTCAACCTACTGTTTTTCTTAATTTTTATACTCTTGGGTGGTGGTCTCCTCTCCTCGCAAGTCTTCTGAGCTATAAGCCTAGTTTAGCCTACTTATCATATTCCAAGTCCTCACACACAGCCCCATGCCAATAAGTCCTCCTCCTTGTTCTCTCCTTTCTTTTCCTGGCTTCATTGACTGGCACTTCTCCCCATCTAGTATTCAGTTGTCCAGGGTAGAAACCTGGGCATTAGCCCAAATTTTGCACTCCTTCATTCCACATATTCATTCAATCACCAGATGCTGTGAACTGTGCTTTCTAAATTCTTTTCAAAACTGCTCATTCCAGTTATCCTCCTGTTTGGTCTCAGTCTGCAGTTTCTTGACTCCCAACCCATCCTCCTATCTGTCAGCCAGAGTGATCTTTCTGAAATGCACATGTGATTCTATCACTGCCCTGCTGAAAGTCTTTTAGCAGGTTCCCACTGTCCTAAAGATAAACTCCATTAACATCACTCACGAGGCTTTTCATGGCCTGACTCTGCCTACTTCATCCTCCTTTCTCTTCACTTTTTCCATTCATCATATAGCTCATCTATTCTGAACTATTTGAACTATTTGTGTCTCCATTTCTCGCTATTTTCTCTGTCTGGGTGAGTTAGGGGAATCATATTTGACCCATTCTATCTTTAGACTACTCTATTACTTGTTTTGAGCTGGAGTCTGCTACTTTGGCTCTTTCATTACGCCTACTCCCTTTCTGCTTGTATGGACAAGTCGGCTCTCCCAGGCATGGCTAGCACAAAGCAGAGGATAAATTGTTACCTCCTTTCTTTTAGTCACTGTATTCCAAATAACGCCACCTAAAAGATCACTAGCTTTTTAGTAGCCACATCATAATCCTCTTTTACACACACACAGTCTGTTAAACCATTTCTCTCTTATCCTGTGTGTTTGCACAGTAGGTGTTCTGTATCTTAACGCAGAAGCTGATCTGACATTTGTCCTAATTTAAGTGTTTGCTAAGTTTCATTGTTTGTTGCATCCCTTGGTTCAATCTTTTGAGTGTTATTTTTAGCCTAATCCAAAGTCTTATAGTATAAAGTAAAAGAAATCCCCTTGTACCATATAGATAGAGGATTTAGGCCCAGAGATGCTCAACATTAGTGGGAAGTCACACAGGAAGCAACGCAGCAGCAGCGCTGGAGCCAGAGCTCAGCGATCCTGCCCCCCTTCCCATACATCGTCTAATATAATACACAAAATCCCATTGCTGAATCCAACCACTGCACATACCCTTAGCTTCTAAAAACTTTTGTTAAATCTCTCAGATTTTAAAAAGTTTTAATTCTGTTTGCCAAAAGAAGTGATCATAAAAATAGCACCACTCTGAACAGCTGGAAACCCCAGCTTCTCCACTACTGACGGACTGCCACTTCAAAGAACTCTTCTTCCAAAACTGACTCAGGAGGGGCTCAGTGGGAAAGCCTGCTGCTTTCCTCTGAAGCTAGGCATCTGTCTTCTCACCTATCTGATGGCTGCCCCTCTATTTTAAGACATCTATTTTAGAGACAAAAAAATGAAACTTTCTCATGCTATAATTAGGGTGGAACTTTAAAAAGGCAAAGTAGTGTAACTTGTCACAGGAGACAAGACAGAGCCAGCTTCTACATTATGGAGCTTAACGGGAAATTTTTAAAGGCTTATTTCTTAGCTGTTTGATATTTCACTGGAGTAAAATAAAGATTGGCCAATCGATTATAAATCAACAGAGCTGCTGTGCACTGTTCTGTAATAGCTCTCAGAGATTAAAAATTCAGTGTATGAAAGTTGGTCCTTCCAGAAAGAGGAAAGGACACATCCATGACCTTGAAATATTATGAACTATAAAGGCTTCCTGCCTTCCCTGTTACATGTCTCTGGTCTTTGTACTTCAAGCCTATTCCACACTTCCACACACTGCTGCCAGGGCCCTGTCCTTTTTTTTTTTTTCTTTTTTTTTTTTCAGATGGAGTCTTGCTCTGTCACCAGGCTGGAGTGCAGTGGCGTGATCTCGGCTCACTGCAACCTCCACCTCCCAGGTTCAAGCAGTTCTCCTGCCTCAGCCCCCCAAGTAGCTGGGACTACAGGCGTGCACTGCCACACCCAGCTAATTTTTGTATTTTTTAGTAGAGACGGGTTTCACCATGTTGGCCAGGATGGTCTCAGTCTCTTGACCTCATGATCTACCTGCCTCGGCCTCCTAAAATGCTGGGATCACAGGCGTGAGACACCACACCTGGCCCTGACCTGTCCTTTTTTGCAGTCAGAACTGTCATTATCTGTAGAAGTCTATCAGTGTTAGGATACAGGGGGAAAAAAGGCAGAGGGGAATTTACTGTAAGAACATTGGGGAATCTCACAGCCATGCCTTAGGGTCATGCTGAACGTAGGCTCTGAGCACTGTGGAGCAGCCTGGAAGTTCTGTCACTCAGGTTTCACATCTCCTCCTCTCTGTGACTTGCCACATTTTTCTTTACAGGTGGGCTGCCTGTGTCTTTCTGGACCCCATGATGGGAAATATGGCTGCCAATAGCTTCTTTTTTTTTTTTTTTTTCTGAGATGGAGTTTTGCTCTTGTTACCCAGGCTGGAGTGCAATGGCGTGGTCTCGGCTCACCGCAACCTTTGCCTTCTGGGTTCAGGCAATTCTCCTGCCTCAGCCTCCTGAGTAGCTGGGATTACAGGCACGCACCACCATGCCCAGCTAATTTTTTGTATTTTTTGGTAGAGACGGGGTTTCACCATGTTGACCAGGATGGTCTCGATCTCTTGACCTTGTGTTCTATCCGCCTTAGCCTCCCAAAGTGCTGGGATTACAGGCTTGAGCCACCGCGCCCGGCAATAGCTTCTAATTATGTTACAGATCCAGCCATGGAGAGATTTATTTTTTTTGCCTGTTCTCTCTCTTTCACACTGCTTAAGACCATGACAGTTCCCTTTCCATTCCTCATGGTTTTGCTTAAACATTGCCTTTCCTGAATAGGTGCCTTCTCCACCTACTTGTTTTTTTTTTTTTTTTTTGAGACGGAGTTTCGCTCTTGTTACCCAGGCTGGAGTGCAATGGCGCGATCTCGGCTCACCGCAACCTCCGCCTCCTGGGTTCAAGCAATTCTCCTGCCTCAGACTCCTGAGTAGCTGGGATTACAGGCAAGCGCCACCATTCCCAGCTAATTTTTTGTATTTTTAGTAGAGACGGGGTTTCACCATGTTGACCAGGATGGTCTCGATCTCTCTGACCTCGTGATCCACCCGCCTCAGCCTCCCAAAGTGCTGGGATTACAGGCTTGAGCCACCGCGCCCGGCTTACCTACTTTTTTTATAGTGTTTGTCTCACTGCATGCTGTGTGTCCACCTACTCCACAGGCTATAAGCACCTAGAGGGGAGGGATATGTTCTTTTCTAGTATTCTCAGTACCTGGACACATAAATGTTTGCCTACCTTTGTTAAGCTCTCTTTAGCCCAGGCATCAGCTCCTCCTTTCATTTCCGCACCCTTTAATCCACATGAGACTAGTAGATGTGAATGTGAGAGGTGTCATTTGGCAGTGGAAAGGGCATGGGATTTGGAGTCAGGACAGATCTAGGTTCTAGTTTGAATTGTCCCACTTTCTAGCTATGAGACTATAGGCAAGTTTCTCTGAGCTTCATTTTCTTAATCTGAAAAGGAGATAAATAATACCTGTCCTTTGATAACACATACAAAACATGTAGCACAATGCCAGAAATGCAGTAGGTGCTGAGGAAATGTTAGTTTCCCTTCCCCTTGTTGTGTGTGTGTGTGTGTGTGTGTGTGTTTGTGTGTGTTTATGGCTTATATATGTGTATACTGTATGCATTTGTGTCTATGTGTACTATTTGGGTGTGTGGGTGGCATACAGTGTGGAGGGAAGACTGAAAATGCTATTTGCATTATCTGCCTGTGTGGAGGAGTGTTACCTAGGTCTCATCTACCTGAAGGACACAAATGAGATCACATTAATGGCAGTACTTAAAATGCCACCACTTTCTGCCCACCCATGTAATTCGGGGCATCACCCCCTTAAATCTCACTCTTAGGTGTTTCTGGGAATCCTCAGAGAGTTTAAGAAGAAACTTCTCCGCTCCTTACTCATGTGTTCATTTTATGAAGCCACTTGATAAGTGAACCTCACTGCAGCCAGGGATGGTGCCCTTAATCCACCCTACTTTACCCTACTAGTTGGCAAAGCTGTGGTCTATAACAAGGGCATTGTCTCCTGGCGCTCCCATAGTCACCAGTCTACTAGATGACACAGCATAACAAAGAGTCTTTCTGAGTCCAAATTGTGCAGTGATCTACCTGCAGAATGCTTCCCCCTTGTTTGGCCTCTTTCACCCTGGTATTTTCTATGAGCACTACCTATACAATCTCCTGCCCTGGCCTAACCTGGTCTCAATGATGTGTGTAACCTTTCTCCATACAGAAGACGATATGGTACATATGAATAGAGTTTGGGGAAGGAGAAGGTGGGGAGGGAATTATACTTTATCTGCATCCCTACAGGGACCTCTTTTGGGCACTAGAGCAGTTCCTAAGCTGGTTAGACCTCCTGGTTGATTCCTTGTCCTCTTCAGCATCCTGGGAATGGTGGAGTTTGTCACCTGACCTTGCTCATTACCCAAGATCTTTGCACTCACAGGGAGGCATCCGTAACATCGCTGACAAGCAAGAGGTACATCCTGAGGTTCCCAGCACTGGAGACACTGATGCTGGATGACAACAGACTCTCCAACCCCAGTTGCTTTGCCAGCCTTGCTGGGCTCAGGAGGTAAAGCCATAAGCCTTTCTCTACTGGGCCTCCTCTAAACCACAGGCTTTCTCATACTCAGTACCTCCTTGCATTTCTAGCTGTTCTGGAAGCCAAAAGGCTTGGGTTTAAATCCCAGCTCCACAATTTACCTCTACTGTGTGACCATGGGCAAGTCATTTCTCCCTTCTGAGCTTTAGCTCCTCCATAAACATGGCCATCAGTGAGGACATTTCTGATCACATGACTGAATTAGAAGCAGCGAAGAGAAATGAAAACAGGAGATTTTACCCAAGATAGGATCCTGACCCTGACAGTGGAGACAGAAAATTTTTTTAAATAATGAGAATTAGAAAGAGAAATTTAACTCCTGAGTTCTAACTGTTTGAAGTAAAGAAAATAACTGGCATTTACATCCCTGGAAAATTTACTTTGGATTCAAGTACCATTTACTGAATACTACTTTGTGCCAGGCCATTTACATATTCCCTCATTTAATCTTTGCAAAAACCTTGAAGGGTTATTAAATATTATCCCCATTTTAGAGACAGGGATATTGAAGCCCAGAGAGAGTAAGTCACTGACTCAAGGTCATGCAAGAGAAATAAGTATCCAAGCCTGATTCCATGTTTTTTTCCCTATAGTTGCTTGGTAAACAATTCTGTGGTATCATTATTGCTATGATTCTGTATTCACTTTCCTTAATTGAAGACTGAAAAAGTTAAGCCTGGATGAAAACAGAATTATCCGGATCCCATACCTACAGCAAGTTCAGCTCTACGATGAGTCAGGGGATTGGACTGGAGGCAGGGAAAGTCCCCAGAAAGAGCCCCAATTCATGCTGCAGTCCAAGCCATGGATGCTTGAGGACTCAGATGAGCAACTGGATTACACTGTACTGCCCATGAGAGAGGATGTTGACCAGACAGGTAAGTGACACCCCTTGTTCCCGAAATTCTAGCCCCATAGGGAAAACACACTTCTGAGAGTTTATTCTAAAAGTCTCACTTGGTCAGGATGAATATCACAAACTGAATTTGCTGATTCTTTGTCAAGGATTTTTGCGTCTGTCTTTGGGAGATATGTTGGTGTATTGATTTCTTTTGTTACAGAATTCTTGTTAGGATTTATAATCAAGGTTATGCTTGTCTCATAAAATGTGTTTGGAAGTGTTCATTTTTTTTCTAGTTTCCTAGTAAAGTTTATATACTATTATTATTTTGTCCTTAAATTTTGGAAGAATTCACCATGAGATCACATGAGCCTGAAGCTTTCTTTGTAGAATAAGGTTGAAAGTATGCAAATCTAAAAGCTTAGAGGAGGACCCCCTGACATCTGAAATTTAGACCTCTGAGGAAGAGGTGCTGCTTAGCTGCTGGTTTCTCTGTGCTGTGATGGGCTTCATGTAGCTGAGACTTACATCTCTGAGAAGAGGATACTGGCCAGCTGGTGCTGGTGCCTATGAAGAAGTCAAAATGAAGCTAGTTTATAAAAATTGGAAAAACTGCAAATGGGATTCCGCTACTGCTGGGGAAAGACTTGCTAGACTAAAGCAAAAACAAAACAAAACAAAACAATCCAGAAACTGTATTATTCTAGTGACGTTCACAGGAATCACAAGCAGTCAGGAAACCCATGGGAAGCAGGTAGGAAGGAATAAACTCCTTTTTTTTCTTCTAGCTTTGTAGTCTCCTTTTAGTACCACCCATATTGTCAGAGTCTAACAGGAAACCAGCGGCCAAAGCAGAAATATGGTTTTGAGAGCCTCAGCTCCAGCATTCCACAGCAAGATAAATAAAGATGGATTTCGAAGTAAAAAATATATATATTAATAACTGGCCAGGCACAGTGCCAATTATTTCGGGAGGCCAAGGCTGAAGGATTGTTTGAGGCCAGGAGTTTGGGGCTGCAGTGAGCTGTGATCACGCTACTGCCCTCTGGCCTAGGCAGCAGAGTGAGACCCTATCTCTATAAAAAATGTAAAAATTAGCTGGGTGTGATGGCACATGCCTGTAGCCTGTGGTACCAGCTACTTAGGGGCTGAGGCAGGAGGATCCCTTGAGCCTGCAGTGAGCTATGAATGTGCCACTGCCCTCCTGGGCAACAGAGTGAGACCTTGCCTCTAAAAATAATAACAACTTCATAAAAGGCACAATTGTGTTATTCAGATTCTCGCTAAAAATGCTTTGTCTACTTGGTTTGTTAACTTTGGAAATAGGTATATTAAAGTCTATCCCCACTATTGTTTTGTCAGTATCTCCTTGCACTTCTGGCATTTTTTTTCCTATGAAATTGGTTTGGTTCTTGGTTACTAGGTTTGTGACTTTTATCTTGGTAGATTTTGTCTTTTAATCATTGTAAAATATTCCAGATAGATAAATTTGGTTTTGACTTGGCCCTCTATTTTGTATGATATGAATATTTATTTTAGGATATCTCAAAAACAATATAGCATTGCATAGTTGTCCTAATATGAGTTTTTTTAATAGACGAATTTAACTCACCTGGTGATTATTGATATATTTTACCTTATTTCTACCATTAGTATGTTTTCTATTTATCTATGCTTTTTGTCTTTTTGTGGGCACTGTTTTCTTTCAATTCCAAATTTTTTACCAATTGTTTAAAGCAGTGAATCTCATGTCTAGATATCTAATGGTTACCCTAAAACTTTTATTTTTAGAGACAGCATCCCACCCCATTACCCCAGGCCAAAGTGCAGTGGCCCCATTGTTCTCAAACTGCATGGTTGAACTCTGGGGTTCAAGTGATCCTCCTGCCTCAGCCTCCCAAGTAGCTGGGACCACTGCACCTGGCTATACCCTACCACTTCTAATTCACATTTTAAAACTCACTTTTGTCTGTCAATACCTAGAATCAACCATATTAAGAAATCTTAATATGCATCTATCTACTCTACCCTACTCCCATCACTTCTTATAATGTAATAAACCCTAATAATAATTTAGATTGGTTTTAATTTTTAAAATTATGTATCAATAATTTTTTAGATGGAAAGATTGAACCTCATACTTAAGGTTTTTTGTTGTTTTTTTTTTTTTTTTTTGAGACGGAGTTTCGCTCTTGTTACCCAGGCTAGAGTGCAATGGTGCGATCTCGGCTCACCACAACCTCCGCCTCCTGGGTTCAGGCAATTCTCCTGCCTCAGCCTCCTGAGTAGCTGGGATTACAGGCACATGCCACCATGCCCAGCTAATTTTTTGTATTTTTGGTAGAGATGGGGTTTCACCATGTTGACCAGGATGGAGCCACTGCGCCCAGCCTTTAAGTTCTTTATCATGTGTACATATGTATAATGTAGGAGCAGAGACTCCTGTTTATAATACAACTCAGGTCCTAATATGGTATAATTTTTAGTCTCTTCAAAGTTCTTCTTGCCCTCTTATTTTTTCTCTTTATCCTTAATTCCTACTCCCATTTCCTATAAATGTCTACTCTTATCTTGGATATATTTTCCTGGATATATGTATTTATCTTTGTAAAATGTATATTATTTTGTGTGTAATGTGTTTGTAATTTACACAATGGTAATATGCTCTTGAGCTCTTTGTTACTTAATTTTTTTCAGTCAACATTATTTTTAAGACCTTTCCTTCTTGCTGTATGTCCATCTAGTTATTGGCTTTTAACTAACGCATAGTATCCTATAATATATGCTCTAAACACATTTCACACATCTCTTCCCTTATTGACGAACACTTACGTTGCTTATCTCTTACTACAAATAGTGCTACAATGAACAACCTTGTGAACATCTTCTGCATATGCCACTGTGCCAGGGTTTTCTTGGAATATTTACCCAGGAGTGGGATTGATAGACGACAGAGTATATGTATATGTAGTTTTAAAAACTGCCACCTGATTGTTCTTCAAAATGATTGCTTCAGTGTACACTCACACAAGTAGTACATAAGGTTTCTTGTCTTCCTACGTCCTTATCAATACTTGGTATTATCTTACTTTATACTTTTTTAAAGTTTTATTCTGGTAGGTATAAAGTGATATTTACCTTTAAAAACTTTTTAATTTATAATTTTTGTGGGTACATAGTATGTGTATGTATTTATGGGGCACATGAAATATTTTGGTATAGGCATGTAATACACACTTTTAGTTATTACTGACTATAGTCCCCCTGTTGTGCCACCAAATACTAGGTCTTCATTCATTCTTCCTATTTTCTTTTTTTTTTACCAATTACCCATCTCCACCTATCCTCCAGGCCCTCACTATCCTTCCCAGCCTCTGGTAACCATCTTTCTACTCTCTGTATCTATGAGTTCAATGGTTTTGATTTTTAGATCCCACAAATTAGTGAGAACATGCAATTTTTGTTCTTCCATGCCTAGCTTATTTCACTTAACCTAAGGACCTCCAGTTCCATCCATGTTCTTGCAAATGATAGAATCTCATTCTTTTTATTGGCTGAATAGTATTCCGTTGTATACATGTACCACATTTTCTTCATTCATCTGTTGATGGATATGTAGGTTGCTTCCATATGTTGGCTATTGTGAACACTGCTGCAACAAACTTAAGAGTGCAGATATCTCTCTCATATACCGATATCCTTTCTTTTGGGTGTATACCCAGCAGTGGGATTGCTAGATAATATGGTAGCTCTATAGTTTTTGAGGAATCTCCAAACTGTTCTTCATAGTGGCTGTATTAATTAACATTCCCAGCAACCGAGGGTTCCCTTTTCTCCACATCCTCACCAGAACTTGTTATTGCCTGACTTTTGGATAACAGCATTTTAACTAGGGTAAGATGGTATCTCATCGTAGTTTTGATTTACATTTCTCTGATGATCAGTGATGTTAAGCACCTTTTGATATGCCTGTTTTTCATTTGAATGACTTCTTTTGAGAAATGCTTATTCAGATCTTTTGCCCATATTTTAGTCAGATTATTAGATTTTTCTCTGTGGAGTTTAAGCTCCTTATATATTCTGATTATTAATCCCTTGTCAGATGGGTAGTTTGCAAAATATTTTCTCCCACTCTGTGGGTTGTCTTTTGTTTATTGTTTCCTTTGTTGTACAGAAGCATTTTAACTTGATGTGATCCCATTTGTCTATTTTTGCTTTGGTTGCCTCTGCTTGTGGGATAGTACTACTCAAGAAAATTTTGCCCAGACCAGTATCCTGGAGAGTTTCCTCAATGTTCTCTTGTAGGTGTTTCATAGTTTGAGGTCTTATATTTAAGTCTTTAATCTGTTTAGATTTGATTTTTCTATAAAGCAAGAGATGGAGTCAAGTTTAATTCTTCTGCATATGGATATCCCATTATCCCAGAACCATTTATTGAAGTGACTGTTTTTTCCCCAATGTATGTTCTTGTTCACTGTAGGTGTGTGGATTTATTTCTAGGTTCTCTATTCTGTTCCATTGGTCTATATGTCCATTTTTATGCCAGTACCATGCTGTTTTGGTTACTATAGCTTTATAGTATAATTTGAAGTCAGGTAATGTGATTCCTCCAATTTTGTTTTTTTTGCTCACAATAGCTTTGCTATTCTGGGTCTTTTGTAGTTCCATATAAATTTTAAGATAGTTTTTTCTATTTCTGTAAAGAATGTCATTGGTATTTAGACAGAGATTGCATTGAATCTCTACGTTGCTTTCAGTACTATGGATATTTTAAAAATATTGATTCTTCCAGTCCATGAACGTGGAATATCTTTCCATTTTTATGTGTCTTCTTCAATTTCTTTCATTGCTGTTTCATAATTTTTATTGTAGAGATCTTTCACTTCTTTGGTTAAGTTAATCCCTAGGTACTTAATTTTACTGGTGGCTATTGTAAATGAGATTCCTTTTTTATTTCTTTTTCAGGTTGTTCACTGTTGGCTTATGGAAATGCTACCAATTTTGTATATTGACTTTGAATCCTGCAACTTTACCGAA